GATATATATATATGTATATATACAAAACATGCAAGTATGTAGCTTGGTAGATAGCGATAAAAAGCTCTAGAACCATCCATTGATATCCTAGAGCTTTACTTCAGTTCTTGGCTGGTGCACGCCTTGATACACATATTGATACAATGGGTTCTGGTTGTACCTATAACATTTACATATAGTTGGAACGGATCATATATAAACCAGGCGCAAAGATTGCGAGGCAAGTGATGGCTACATACACAGAAACAACGGCCATCGACCAAGCATGTCACTAAAACAAGCAACACAATACAAAATAAAACGAACCAAACCAACCCGCTAGTCAGGCCGTGGCCTGCTGAGCAGAAATTAGGTTTAATATCTGGTTTAATGAGCGCCCACGGGAAAATTCATTAAATTTTACTATTCGGATGTATATATTTGGGATCTGGTGTTCGGTTTCCAATTTTGGATATGATTTGTACTACTCAATCTAAACCGATCAATGGTGGCACACAACGCTCTCCGTGCCATACGTACGTGTCCACACATACTGGGCAGCGGCTTCAGAAGTATATCTCTACCAGAAGGAACATTTAGCACACGTAGCAGCTTGTCAATTTGTGTATGTATGTGTGTATGTATGTATGCATGTATGTACATATGATGTATGTATGTGTGTATGTATGTATGCATGTATGTGACTATGCATGTAAGTTGCTATGAGCAGTAAATATCCCTTATATCCCTTGGCCGGAATGTGCTGCGACGTATCTGCACATATGTGACTCTGATGGATAGCGCGTGCCGTTTGGGGATGTGGTGGACCTTTGTACCAACAGTACATTGTCGGGGTCCTTCGCTGTCCAAAGTGAATACGTGCAACACGCAAACAACAGTCAAGCAAGTGACCTACACTAATTTATGCAGTGACATCTGAGTGCCTCACATCACCTGACAATTGTATTTAATCCAATGGATGCGGAGAAGAAGTAGCCAGTGTCAGGTGCCCATGCGACCGATGTTTATTCAGCTGCAGTGTACTGTAGGTCTGCACTACAGTGTTGGTTTGCGTACTGTAAGTTTGCGTACTGTAGGTGTGCGTACTGTAGGTTTGTGTACTGTCGGTTGTACTGTAGGTCTGCGCTACAGTGTAGGTTTGCACACTGTCAGTTTTTGTACTGCAGGTCTGCACTACAGTGTAGGTTTGCACAGTGTAGGTTTGTGTACTGTAGGTCTGCACTACAATATAGGTTTGCGTACTGTAGGTTTACGTACTGTAGGTTTGTGTACTGTAGGTCTGCACTACAGTGTAGGCATGTGCACTGTATGTTTGGCAGTGTAGGCCTAGCTATTGACAATTGAATACGATATCGTCGATATGATATCAACTTAAGCATAGCAGTTCCATTGTACTATGACGACCCCTTCATCGAGAGACGTTCAACATAATGATATATATTCGCTATGCGATACAGTAGCAGGTGCTGACCCCGACAGTATACGACAACTGTCGCTATTTCCCCCCCTCCCCTGAATTCCTCTCCTGGTAGGTTTTTTCTCTCCTGGTAGGTGATTCCTTTCCTAGTAGAAAATTCCTTTCCTGGTAGGTATTTCCTCGCCAGCTAAGTAATTCCTCTCCTGGTATGTAATTCCTCCACTTGTAGGTATTTCCTCTCTTGGTAGGTAATTCCTCTCCCGGTAGGCATTCCTCTCCTGGTAAGTAATTCCTCTCCTGGTAGGTAATTCCTCTCCCAGTAAGTGATTCCTCTCCCGGTAGGTAATTCCTCTCCTAGTAGATAATTCCTCTCCTGGTAGATAATTCCTCTCCTGGTAGGTATTTCCTCTCCCGGTAAGTAATTCCTTTCCCGGTAGGTAATTCCTCTCCTAGTAGATAATTCCTCTCCTGGTAGGTAAATACTCTCCTGGTAGGTAATTCCTCTCCTGGTGGGTAATTCCTCTCCTGGTAGGTAATTCCTCTCCCGGTAGGTAATTCTTCTCCTGGTAGGTAAATACTCTCCCGGTAGGTAATTCCTCTCTTGGTAGGTAATTCCTCTCCTGGTAGGTAGTTCCTTTCCTGCTAGGTAGTTCCTCTCCTGGTAGGCCATT